CAGACCTGGGTATCCAACATGGCCGCCTTGCACCTCTACCCTCTGCATCCAGCTCTCAGTCTGCCCAGAGGTGGCGGGATTTCCAGACAACCTGAGCCCTCCCTGTCTGCCAACGGCTCCATAAATACAAGGGGCTGAGACATTAGTAATGGAGAAGTGACAGGAAATGAGTCACATCCTGGCCACCTTCTCACCCCCACATCCCAGCCCCATATTGTATCTGAAGGAAGCCATCCCCACCCCTTAGCCCGGCTCTCACTTATTTCAGTGGGGAGCCCCTCAGGATCCTGAGGTGAAGCAAGAGGCTCTGGAGAGAGAGCACAGGTCAGCTCTGAATAAATTGAATTCTGGGCACCAGAATCTTCACATTCCTCACTGCTATGTCCCAGCTGACCCCTCCCCTTTGCTGCTCCCCACAGATCCCCCTCCCCACGCCAGTGCTGAGGCTGGATCCCCCTTCTGGAGCAGTGAGTGAAGGACTCCCGCTGCTCATCATCTGCATGGTCTCCAGAGATGCCAGAGAGTGGAGATTTCACTTCTACAAGGACGGAGTCGAGATCGTCCCCGGGGACATGGGGTCTGAGATCAACGCCATGGAGCCTGGCACCGGCTCTGTGAATGTCTCTGTGCTCAGCATCCCACAGGCTGGTCCCAACAACACCGGGGAATTCACCTGCGGGTACGAGGAGAATGTGAGCGGGAGGTGGATCCCGTCCCCGAGGAGCCGGGCTGTGAACGTCACTGTGAATGTCACTGGGACAGGTCAGATTTCCCTAATTTCTTAATTCACCTCCTTGTGTTACTCCCATTCAAGGAGAACCATCCCCAGGAGCTCTCCTGGGAAAGGGAGGTCGGATGAGGTGACAGATGTCACATGGGGATAGAAAACAAAGTAGAGATGAAAACCCCGCTTCTCCTTCCAGGTCCTTTCTATCTATGACACTTCCATGGCCCAAGTATCTGAGCCCCTCACAATGTTGTTAATAGATTTAGCCCAGAGGTGGGCAAACTATGGCCCACAGGTCACATCCGGCCCGCGGGACTGTTCTCCCCGGCCCCTGAGCTCCTGGCCTGAGAGGCTAGCCCCAGCCCCTCCCCTGCTCCCTTATCCCTCCCCTGTTCCCCCACCCCCACAGCCTCAGCTTGCTCGCTCCGCCGCCACCGGCACCATGCTCTGGGTGGTGGGGCTGTGAGCTCTTGGGGCAGCGCAGCTGCAGTGCCCGGCCTGACCCGGTCTCTGTGCTGCGTGGTAAGGGGGCAGGAAGCGGGGGGGGTTGGATAGAGGGCAGGGGAGTTCGGGGGAGTGGTCACGGGGTGGGGGTGTGGATAGGGGTCGGGGTGATCAGAGGGTGGAGAACAGGGGGTTGAATGGGGGCAGGGGTCCCAGGGGGGCAGTCAGGAAGGAGGGGGAGTTGGATGGGGTGGCAGGGGGCAGTCAGGGGCAGGGATTCTGGGGGCAGTCAGGGGACAGGGAGAAGGGGTGGCTGGATGGGGCAGGGGTCCAGGGGGGCGTGTCAAGAATGAGAGGAGGGGTT